CTCCCTTGGGCTTGGAGTGTCTCCTGCCTCTCGTTTGCAAGTGGGAGCTGCTGGAACGGCTTGTCTGGGACTCGGGAACTGGAGCAGGCTCAGATGTGGGAGACTCGACCTGCTCCAGGTGGAAGGAGCTGGGGCCTCTCTCCCTGGGCAGGGGGGTCTCACCTCCCTCCGTGGCTCAAGCAGGAACTTTCCTTCTCTGTCACGTCAGTTTTTCTTCCTCACTTCTGTCCCTTCCTGATGAGGGACTCACGGTGCCTGTAGTGCCCGTGGCTGGCCTTAGTTGGACCCAGACACTTGAACTATCCGGTCTTTCCCGAGTGCTGCCCTCCCCACCGCTGATCCTGTATTTTTCCATTTGGGAAGTCCTTGCTCCCCCACCTCCTGTCCTCCTCTGCTTCCAGGGCGGCTGAAATGAGCACGCTTGGGTTTGTTCACCAGCTCCAACCTACACAGCTCTGGATCATGCCAGAAGAGTGTAATTGGCAGCAGCAACCCGGCCCGGAGGGTTGAGGGAGCAAACGGCTGCCATGGGGACAGCAGGGGACTGGGAGGTGCATCGCTCCCAGTGGGTCTCCAAAACAAACCCAGACTGTTTCTTGGAAGGATTCGGGCGCATCCAGACGGATGTTCCGTCCCTCTGCATCCTATTGCCACCACGATGCCTCTTGCTGCCCGGGGAAGTGCCCTTTGTGCTGGGGGAGTTGTGTCCTTGCCAAATCAGAAACCCATCAGGCTTTGCCTGCCCTGTCCTTTGCACGGGGGCCTCGCCGGGGCAGGAGGAGCAGGGCCAGGGTGCGCTTTGCTGACCTTCCCTTGGCTCGAGACTTGATTCTCTGCATCTCTCCCAGCCTCGGGGGGCTGGAAGCAGATGGGTCATGGGCCAGAGCAGGTGGGGCAGAGCCATTTCAAAGCTCGATGGACTTGGGTTCCTGCAGGAAAGAATAATTCCTCTGCATTCAGCAACACACCTTCATCTTCTATAAAGATGATCAGGTTTTTGGCTTCTGCCTGCCAAGGCAAGATGAAAACTCTCTGTGGCTTGGTCCCCGGGCTCACAGCGCGCCCGGCTCTAACGCTGCTCACAATCTTCCTTCTGACACTTTTTTGGATTCAGGCTGTTGCTATGGTACATTTACACTCGGGAGAGCTTAAGGTTTCCTTGTATGGAGCTCCAAAAAAGTGCCCGTGGAGCAGGAACGGGTGATGGGGTGGGTGGGAGCATCATCCCCTGTGCTCCCCACCTCTCTGATCTACTTACAGGCGCAACAGGGGCCCGCGGGGCTGAGCACTCCCTGAGCACTTAACCCAAGATGATGCCAGCAAGCACCGTGTGTGCCTGGCCGCAGGAGTCCGGCTGGATGCCTTCGGAGCTCGGGCTTTGCTCCTCTGGATTCCTGGGTGATGTGGGCTCTCTAGTACACACAGAAACCACCGTGGTGCAAAACCAGGGCAGAGCCACGACCCTGGTCTCCTCGTGAGCAGTGTTTCAGGGGACAGAGGTGCTTATGGGGGGCAGCTCATGGGCTGCCCCTGCTTGTGGCTGGG